GATCCCCGGTCATGCCCTTCAGCATCTCGCTTGCGCACCTCAAGCTCTGGGATGTCTCTTCCTGACTAATGAAAGGTGACATGTACTCCCCGTGAGGAGTTAAAATGCAGAGGAGAAGCCATCAGGAATGCTTCCTGTGGGGGACAGGGACAATGGTCGCTGCCCGTGTTCTGATTTTTCTTTTGTTTTCTCTTTGATGCACACAACAGAGGTATTCTTAACACCCCCAACCTCATTTTCAGGGCCTGACAAATTCTGCACTCTAGCTTGGGGCTCTTTTCCCACATAGCAGATTGAGGCGAGGGTTCATATGAGGTTCCCCCCACCTCTTCTGAAGCAGCATTGGTGGCGGGGGGGAGCTGGAGCTGGTCTGCCCAAGGCTTGGGAGTGGAGCATCAGCCTTGCCTGCATGAGGCCCTAGGTTCCATTCCCAGAACCAGAAAAAAACAAAAACAAACAAAACCCCAAACAGTTCAGACATGGCCAAACTTCCAAGCAGTACAGAGCACAGAGGGAGCCCTTTAAAACTGTGGGTTCCTGGATCTTGCTCTGAGCCCACAGAACCATCTTCTAAGCATTGAATGTGCTCCCCAAAGGATCTAGATGGGCCATGGGTTTGGGAACCATTTGCTCAAGGCTGCATGATTGAACATGGATGTCCAGCCTTAGTTGGACTGGTCACCGAGGTGGAGCCAAAACCTGATGATGAGAGCTTTGTCACAGAGCTGGGTGGTTGACAGGAAGTGAGGGGTTTCAGTGTGCCCCAAGCTCTCCCCCTGAGACTGTAAGAACAGAGTCCTGGCGAGAAAGAGCAGAATGCTTTGTCAGCTGTGAACCTGCTGGGCGCACATGGGGGCAAGGCTCTGACCTAGCCCCTTGCAAAATTTTATCTCTAGATTTGAAATCTCTGGCCCTAGGGGCCTTCCCACATTTGGGGCCGAGTGGAGAGTGTCCATGCAGGTGGATATGAGATGCCTTGCTCACTCCTGAGACCTGGGAGAAGAAAAGCCCACCTGCCACCTCATATCCTCCTCCTAACTGCTGTGACAAGGGCTGGGGGCATCAGAACATTTCAGTCTGTAGGACCTGGGCAACCTCTAATACATGCTCAGGAGACCTGCCTTAGACATATGGGCTAGCAGGCCTTCAAGCATGTTGGAAGAATCAGGCATTCTGGCAGGGCAGTTATAATACGGGCTTGCAAGTGGGACAATCGATGTTCTTATTGTCCAAGAAAAGCAGGAAACCCCTTTAAAATGCTCCCCAGTGAAGCACGTTGCAGATTAGTGAAGTAATATGAGCGGCGGGGCTGCGTCCCCAACACCCCAGCCGCCTGCCCGGCTAGCTTATGCCCTGAAATAATTACACGGACACTGTATTCTTTTAATCACTGCTTGGCTTATTCTCTTCTAGGCTAATTCTCACATATTAATTTAGCCCATTTCTAATCATCTGTGTATGGCACCCCAAGGTGCGCTTACCAGGAAGATTCTAGCCTATGTCCATCCTGGGTCGGACCTTCATCGCGTGTGTCTGCCAGGGAGCAGGGCATGGCATCTCTGCTGAGGCGTCTGCTCCGGAGAGCAGAGCTGTGGAGTCTGACCTCACTTCCTCTTCCTCCCAGCGTTCTGTTCTGTTTACTCCACCTACCTATGTCCTAACCAATAAAATGGGCCAGGGCAGTTCCTTTATTAGCCAATGACCTTCCTCCATCAGATTAGACTGGCTGTAGCTGTGTGACCTTTGTGAGCCTCTTACCCTCTCTGTGCCATGGGACTCCATAATAGATATATCCTATCACTTAAATCTGAACCACTCCCTTGGCCAGGCTCCTGTGTTGAATATTTGCCCCCCAGATAGGGGAGCTCTTTGGGAGTGGCAGTGGAACTTCCCTAGATAGGGCTTTGCTGGAGGAAGGAGGTCACTAGCGACCAACCTTTGGAGATTATCCCACCCCTGGTCCCAGGTGTACTCTGCCTCTTCCACATGCTCCCTCAGTGTGGATTAAATAACTCTCCCTTCTTTCCACCATGACGGACAGAGACCCTCTGAAACTGTGAGCCAAGTGAAGGCCCCTCTTGCTAAGTTGTTCTGTCAGCTGTCTGTCACAGACAGTGAGCAGGGACTGAGGCGCGGGGGTAGAATTTTCTGGCCAGAGCAGTGGAAGAGGAAGTCACGACAAGAAGAATGTCACCGTGCATCCTGTCCCTTCTCCCTCCCGCGTCTGTCCTCACTCTCTCACGCTGTACAGTTCGGCTGTGCGGAGACCCTTGCTGGTTCACATGCTCCAGACTCCTTCAGATTAGCAACTGTAACCTCACCCAGCAGCCCCAACTAACAGAGATGAATTCGGGCTGGCTCAGAGGAGATGGAGTGTGGGGCTCTCTGAATCTCCTGCCTCTCCCCCCCCCCCCCCGCCCCCGACACACACAACTGGCCCTACAGAACCCTCAGGGCACCAGAAAGCAGAGTTTGGCAAACACTGGTATGACCACTGTTTCCTGGGTGAGAGAGCAGAGAGGGCTGACACCCTAATACCAGGATCCTACACTAAGGGGCTTTGATTTTTGGGTGGTTAGTCTGTCTTTCTCTCCCTCTTCCCTCCTTCCTCCTCTTCTCTTCTGTTGTCTCTCTGCCTCTCTTTTCATGTATACACAGGTGCACATTAACATGTGTGCAGAGGCCCGAGGACAATTGGCTATGATTCCCCAGGAGATAATCCACTCTGTTGTCCAGACAGTCGGCAGGGCTGACTGGCCACTGAGCCCCAGGGGGCTCCCATGTCAATACTGTGCTTACCGGTGAGCACCCCACACCCAGCATTTTTCTTTAAACTTGGATTTTGAAATTAAATTCAGGTTCTCATACTTGCAAGGCAAGCTCTATATATCCAGGCTGACTTGGAACTCACTGAGTAGCCCAGGCTGTCCTTACACTCCTAATCCTCCTGCCTTGGCCTCCTAGATGCTTGAATTGCAGGTGTGACTACCCTGCCCTGTCACAGGGCACAGAAGCAGGTGAGGTCATTAGTGCAGTTCAGGCTTTGGCAATGACTGAGAGGCCATTGGTGTGGGAAAGGCTGTCAGGGTGAGGTTTCACTAGAGTCCAGCCCAGGACCGCTTGGCATGTTGCTCTGTGCGTGGCAGTAAGGGACAGGGCCTGGGACAGACTGCTTGAATCTTGATCTCAGCACTCACTGCCTTTTGGCTAAGTGGCTCCCGTAAGCAACTTAGCTTCAGTTTTCTGAATTGAACACACGGGCACAGAAGCACAGAGGATCTTTCCAGTGTGCCAGGGTGGTGGCAGGATAAACTCATTGTACGTTGCAAACATCCTAAGTAGAAATGCTGCTTATGACTTTCCTGTGTTAGCCACCCGGTGCACAGTCAAATGCAGTAGCTTTCCCTCGTGATTGTGGGGCTCTCAGGAAGCCAGGCCCACTGCTGCTACACACTGTGATGAAAGAGGACCACACCATGGAATTTTTATCTTCTAGCAGGAGATAAAAATTACGGGCAGTTTCTGTTTATTTATTTAATAGTTATTTTCATTGAGACAGGATCTCATGTAGTCCAAGCTGGCCTCAAACTCAGTATGTAGCCAAGAATGACCTTGAACTTCTGATTGTCCTGCCTCTGCCTCACAAGTGCTGAGATTTATAGGCATATGCCACCACTCCTGATTTGTGTGAATGGGACTAGGACCCAGGGCTTGGTGAATGCTAGACAAATGCTCTACCACCCGAGCCATGTCCCCACCCAGGATGGTTTTAAACTGAGTCTCTTTCACACCATGGTGAAATAAAATGTCTTAAGCCAGAGGTAGCGGGAATCCTGAGTTTCGAAGTTTGGGAGATTTGGTCAGTTAACCCATATGAAGTGTTAACCTCGGGGCCCATCACACAGCCAGTGCACCTCAGGGGTAGCTAGCGCCACCTGGGGCATTCTGGGACCAGTTACTGCCTCTGGGGGCTCATAGGGATAGTTTATGAGGAGAGGTGTGACTGATGAACGTGCTGGGCTCTGCACTGCCGCCCCTCGCTAGTGAGGTGTAGCCTAGGTCACAGTGGAGGCGCCATGGCCTATAGGCTGCTCCTCACTCTTCCCTTGTGGAGACTCATGGGGAGAGCCCAGAAAATGATTTTCAGGAGCCAGAGGGCGCTCAGACAGAGTCCACATTTGATGGCTGTGGGCAGGGCTGCCAGGCAACCTTCTGGAGGCTCTGATTCCCAGGTCTTTCCAAGGGCTCTATTGCCCTCAGTTTATTGTGGGCTTCACACCACAAAGATAGGAGCAAACCCAGTTCCAGTGCCCTGCCCCGATGTCTAGAATAAGACAACAAGCCTTTTGGTTTTGTTTGTTGGCATTGCTTTCATTTTGTTTGAGACAGGCTCTCACTCCATAACCTTGGAACACAACCTGACCTGGGGCTCACAGCAACCCTCCTCCCTCTACTCCTCGGGTGCTAGGGTTATAGATGTGAGCCATCTCACCCGGCTGAGGAAAGGGCGGGGGGGGGGGGGGGGACTTGAGACTGGAAGAAGACCTTCCGGAGCTGCAGGTTCGAGGTTTACACCTATTGCTTCATTATCCAGTCAGAACCTGGGCCAGCAGCATTAAGCGGCATGGCTTCAGAGTTTTCTAGAAAGATCTGCCTCAGACCCCTGTTTCAGAATCTGCATTTTGGCAGGTGCTTGCAGTATGCTTAGTTTGAAAGCGTTTGTTCCAGATGCCTGAGACCAGCTCAGAACTCTGGGCGCCAATCCCTGGAGGAGGCTGTGTGAGCTAAGAGAGGCCTGAACCTGAAGCCATCAGCACTGATAGCCACTGAGGAGCCTGGACTTGGAGTGAGCTCAGACATTCTGGAAGTATTGGCACTGGAAGGCCTTTCCAGGGAAGGCTTCTCAGCCACTGTCAGATCCTCGAGACCGTAGAATGAGAGATGGAGGGTTCTCCTCTGCTTGGGTTCTGGGGGTCCTTACTGCCCTGTCTCTGCTCCAGGCGCCTGGTGGACCGTCTGGAAAACATGAGGAAGAATGTGGCCGGGGATGGTGTGAACCGTTGCATTCTGTGTGGAGAGCAGCTGGGCATGCTGGGCTCTGCCTGTGTCGTGTGTGAAGACTGTAAGAAGGTACCAGTATCACGCTTCCTTTCTTCCTTTCCTGCTAGACACCTGCATGGGGAAGAGGGATCTTGACTGATTGGATATGGATCTGGGGCCTGGGATCTGAAGGATGGAGCTTGGCCTCTGAAGGACAGTTGTAGGGTGTGAGTCCCTCAGGATTCTCAGTCTCCCAAGGTCAGCTTGGTTCTGGTTCCTTCCACGGAAGGTCTTTATGTCCTCTTAGAGCTGAGGTCTATGCAGGATGAACTCAGAAGTCTGGGTCATGAGGATCCTGACTATGGGTTAGTTAGTAAGTTAGTTGTGTGGTCTGAAGAGCATGCTCTGTGTGTGTGTGGGGGGGGGGTGGGTGCATGCACATGCATGACCCCACATATGCATGTTTGTTTCCTTAACATGCATTGAGCTGCAGGAGACTTAGCAAAGGCAGGCAAGATGGCTCAGCAGGTAAAGGCACCTGTCGTACAAGCCAGGTGACCTGAGTTCAACCCTGGAACCCTGGTGATGTAGAAGACGAGAATACTCTGGCCACACACACTCAAAAGTGTACACTAGTAAAAAAAATATACAATTTATTTTTTAAAAGAAAGACTTAGAAAACCTCTCTCCAGACAACTTGGATTCTTTGGATTTTAAGAGCATTTGTCCAAGCAGAGAAGCCCCTCCCTGAGTTCTTGTCATGACCCCCTGAAATGGGTGTATCCAGCCTCTCCAGAACAGAGACAGGACTGTCTTTGGTCCACCTTACCCCACTCAAGGAATTCGGTGATCCACCTAGCTAGAGATACCCATCATGCCACTGGGCATCTCCCGCCCTGTGATTGAAGTAGCTCATAGAGTACAGTATTGAACTAGCTGGGGTTGTGGCTCATGCCTTTAGTCCTAGCACTCAGGAGGCAGAGGCAGATGGATCTCTGTGAGTTCAAGGCCAGCCTGCTCTACAGAGTGAGTTCCAGGACAGCCAGGGCAATACAGAAAAACCTGTCTAAAACAAAACAAACCAAATACAGTATTGGGGAAAGTTTGTCTGAAAGATAATTCGTTATAGCATTTACCCTGATAGGCAATTTTATGCAGTTACGGGTTTTCCTGTTTGTCTTCAGACAATGGAAGCTCATCCCAGAGTAGAGTATCCCTGTGTTGTCTGGCTGTTATTCAGATATTGCTTGTCTGCTGAAGTGGGTGGATGTGTGGTCATGGCTAAAATTGTCTCAAGTCTTCTGGGAAAAGAAAGAAGCCAACACACAGAAAGAATACACCGACTTTTCTTCAGAATCATGCCAGTGGCTTCCTCCATGTGGTGGGTGAGAACCCAGACCCCACAGGATGGACGTTTTGAGAAACCTCTCTTCCAACACTTGGGGAAGAATCCAGCTCTTGCCATTGGCAGCAAGGCCAAAAGTGAAACTATTCCAATTGGCCTTGCTCTTGGGAGGAAGTGAGGAAGGGTTCTAGTTCTTTCCATGCCCCAAGAGATTTTGAACTCCTTTGCTTTCCAACTTCTTCCTTGCCTGTCCCTAGTCTCCTACAGCCCAAAGCCTGCCTCACCTGTGTGTGCTCTGGCCTCACCTGTGTGTGCTCTGTCCTCACCTGCGTGTGCTCTGGCTTCACCTGCGTGTGCTCTGGCCTCACCTGTGTGTGCTCTGGCCTCACCTGTGTGTGCTCTGGCCTCACCTGCTTGTGCTCTGGCCTCACCTGCTTGTGCTCTGGCCTCACCTGCTTGTGCTCTGGCCTCACCTGCTTGTGCTCTGGCCTCACCTGTGTGTGCTCTGGCCTCACCTGCTTGTGCTCTGGCCTCACCTGTGTGTGCTCTGGCCTCACCTGCATGTGCTCTGGCCTCACCTGCATGTGCTCTGGCCTCACCTGTGTGTGCTCTGGCCTCACCTGCATGTGCTCTGGCCTCACCTGCTTGTGCTCTGGCCTCACCTGCATGTGCTTTGTCCTCACTTGCGTGTTCTCTGGCCTCACCTGCGTGTGCTCTGGCCTCACCTGTATATGCTCTGCCTGTTTTGTCCACAGAATGTCTGCACCAAGTGTGGGGTGAAGACCTCCAACAACCGCCCACATCCGGTATGGCTGTGTAAGATCTGCCTTGAGCAGAGGGAGGTGAGTGGTCAGGCTTGTGTCTGGAGGTGAGGATGGGGGTGGCATGAGTAAGATGAGGGTGGGAGAGGGTGCCATGGCATTTGGAAGCTTGGGGCTTGGCCTGGTTCTTGTGTCCTAAAGGTTTGGTAGGAAAGGAACCAGCCTAAAGCTGGGGGTTTGGTTCAGTAGATAGTGCTTGCCTAACACACAAGACTCAGATTAAAATTCCAACATGGCTTGAATTGGGCAGGGTGGTGCACACCTGCAATCTTAGAACTGGAGAGTTGGGGGCAGGAGGATCAGGAGTTCAAGGTCATCCTCAAGTGCATAGTGGATCTGAGGCCAGCCTGAACAGAACATCTAAAAACAAAAGTAATGAGTAGCTGGTGAAAAGGCAAGGCCTCTTCCTGTGCCAGAGTGGCCTTTTCCCCCTCCTCTCTTTCTTTTCCTGTGCCAGAGTGGCCTTCCCTTCCTCTCCTTCTTTTGTCTCTTTTTTTGCCCTCTGATTTTCCCCTCCCCATCCCAGTCCCTCACTTTCTGAGTCTCCCTTCCTCCAAATCTCTCTCTCTTTCCCTCTGTGTGACATAAGTGTATACACATGTGTGTGATGGTGTACTTGCCCAGGTGTGAACTTGTGGCATCCGAGGTCAACATCAAGTGTCTGTCACCATTGTCTCTGCCCTGCATTTTGAGACAAGGTCTCTTACTGAGCCTGGAGCTCTAGGCTCCAGCTAGACTGGCTGACCAGTGGGCTCCTGGGATCCCTTAGCACCGAAGTGACAGCTGCACACTGCCCAGATTTTACGTGGGTGCTGGAGATCTGAGGTCAGGTCCTCATGTGTGTACTCCACACACTGAGTCATCTCTACAGAACTCCCCTCATCTTTTCTCCCTCCTTGCCTATTGTCTTTCTCATCCCCTGCTTTCTGCTCCTCACCCTCTCCCTTCCTCCATGATATTTTATCTCTTCACTCTTGATTCCTTCTCTTACTCCTACCTCAACCTCTGCCTCCCCCATACTCCTTCCCTTTTCTCTGTCCATTTTCTTCTAGAATCCTTCTCTTGCCCACACCTGCTTTGGGTTATTGACTTTATCCCCAGTCATCCCAGTTTCTTTACCAGTCATCCCCTGCTGCAGATTCTTGCCTTGGAGAAATTGTTTTAATGGTCACATTTTCTCCCTTCAGCCTAAGGACAACAGGACACACAGGGAAGGTTTGATGAAGGTTCTATTCATGGCAGAGTGGGGAACACCAAAAGTGGAGGGGACCCTCCAATATGAGTGATGGCAGGGCTCTGAATTCACTTCCTGGTCTGAATAAAAAGAGGAAGGAGGGCACAGTAACCAGGAAGAAAGGTGAAGGGAATAGGAGGTCATCACCACCCAGCAGTAGGGAGAGAGCCAAGGGGATATATACCATGACTCCCCTTTCCGCATCTGCTCACTCCTCTGGTATTCTCTTGGGCCACACAAGCCAGAGAACCAAGGTTGTGGGAGCTCCATTATTATGTGCCACACTGGGTAACCCTGTAGAGCATATAGCAAGATGGGAATTGAGGATCTTCCAGATGTCCCTATATCATCTTGTCTAATCTGAAGTCATGATAAAAGCTTGGGGTCTTGAAGAAGTTGTCAGGGATTAGATCATCTGTTTTATTTTGTCCCTTTGAGGCAAGGTCTCATGTAGCCCAGGATAACCTCAAACCTGAATTCCTGATTCTCCTGCCTCCAAGTATTAGAGCTTTTAGGTACTTCCTACCTTTCTTACATCAAGTACAAGGCCTTAGTTACAAGATGAGAGAATTGGCATTGAGCCCACACTCTTTCCCTTTCTGATGCTGAGCTATTGGATTGATCTTTGACATGGCAAACATTCAACTTTCTCTGTCAATAAAATGACCATCAGGTCATGGAACAAATGCATGTGGCCACTGTCATGGCCAAGAACTATGGGAACAAAGATAAAAACTGGCAGTTGGCTGCCATGTCTCCCACACCTGCCTGCCTTCTTTCCTTCCCAGGTCTGGAAGCGCTCAGGAGCATGGTTCTTCAAGGGTTTTCCCAAACAGGTTCTTCCACAGCCTATGCCTATAAAGAAGACCAAGCCCCAGCAGGCTGCTGGTGAGCCTGCTGCTCTGGAACAGCCTACGCTTGAATCCAGGCACACAACCCGAACTCCAGCTCAAGGTAGGACAAAACCAACCCCTTCCAGAACCTTGGACAGGTCCTGGCTTACTGGTCTACCTGGAGGTGTCCTAGAAAAGTTCTTGTTGCCAATCAACTTCTGGTCTCTAATCTAGGACTTCTTAGCCCCTTTGTTGTTTCCCATGAACCTGTTTTTGGGAGAGTAGCACAGGGAACTTTCTAGAAAAGCCAGCTTGCCAAGTACTTTGCTGTCTTCCTTTATAGAAAATTGAAAAGCACAAAATAAGAAATTAAAATTAGTAATTGGGAGAGTATCCCACTCACCTGAATATACCATGGAACCTGTGGAACTTGGACCTGCTAAAAAGGCTTTCCTGGTTTTCTTGTGTTCCTTCCTCCCCTTCCATCTCCTTTTTTTCTTCTTTCTTCTCCTCCCTCCTAATTTTTCTTCTCCCTCTCCTCCTTCTCTCTGTTCCCTCCTCCCTCTCCTCTCTCTTTTTCTTCTTCTTGGGCAGAATCTCATGTAGTCTAAGATACTCTGGAACTCCCTTTTTATCTGAGGATTTGGTGACCTTGAACCTTAACCTCCTGCCTCTACCTCTCAAGTGCTGGCATTATAGGTGTGCTATACCATACCTGATTTTCACTTTTGTTTCTTCTGTTGACTGTAAACAATTCTGCAACTGGACTAATTAAAAGTGAAAGATGAATAGAAATGAAATTAGCAAAGGGAAATTACCAGCACTATTAATATCATGGCTGTTATCTGAGTATAGTTATTAATAATTAAAGTGTTCATTAAAAGAGAGAGAGGCAAATAGGAAGAAAAATGACTCCATAAAATTGCATTTTCATTGGACAGTACCACTTAGACTGGCCAGACAAAGCCCTTATAATAGTCTCAATTAACACTGGATGGTAAGATCAACTGGAACAGCAATGCTGGGGCATCATTTCTCAAAAGAGAGCTAGAGATACAGGGCTCGAATCTAAGTGCCTGACCTGGTCTCTCATAGGACAACTTCTCAGAGTAATGGAGCCCGGTGCCAAAGGTTTTCTCTACAGAGTGTCATGAGCCATTTCTACTTCTTGTAGAATCACCAAGTTGTCAATAGCCACTGTGTCCCTGAGGAGTGTGCAGTCCTACCAACTATCCTTCCTCCTGACTACCCTTCCCTCTCTCTCAGTGTCCAACCCACAGTCCACAGGTCACATGCAGCTCAGGGTAGTTATGCAGCCCAAACAGAACTGCAAATTTATTTAGAACAGAAGCAGAATTTTTAGTCTTTTTTTTTTTTTTTGGTAATGTGGCTGTGTGGTGCTTGATCATGGATTCACAGATAACAACGCTATGTTGTGGTGTCACAGGTTGGACAGACCTGCCTTTCTAGGCAGAAGAAATGGCCATTGTTTTGTTGGCCTATGCTTTTGTCTCCACTTACAATAAGAAAGTGAGACACTAGGAAGAAGCTCAGGGGAGAGGTTGGAGGGAAAACTTACTTAATGCTTCAAAACTTTTTTCAGTAACAGGCTGGTCCCCTTGTGTATCTCTGAGGTGAGAACTCTACAGACACCAGAAAACTAGCTCTCTGCATCATTTCTCTCTCTCTCTCTCTCTCTCTCTCTCTCTCTCTCTCTCTCTCTCTCTTCAGGTGACATGGAGGAGAGGAGGGCCCCAGGTCAGAAGCCAGGTGAGTTCTGCCAACTGTCTTCCACCTCACCCTATCACTTCCCTCTCTCTGTTTTAAGCCATCCCTTTTCTTGCAGGCCCCGATTTCCCCTCTGCTCCTGGGCGAGGAAGCCATGGGCCTCCCATGCGCAGGGCCTCTGAGGCACGAATGAGTACAACTGCCCGGGATTCTGAGGGCTGGGAGCATGGTCATGGTGGGAGTGCTGGAGATGCCAGCCGGAGCCCAGCAGGTGAGCAAGGTAGGCATGTGCTGTCTTTATTGAGTGCCTACTGTATATATCATGTTTTGTTTCTAATGTGGGTCTCAAATGTGGTGGCTGAGTGTTCAGGACTTAAAGTGGTCTCTGGTACCCAACCCCAACAAAGAAAAAGAGGGAGCGGGAGAGGGAGAGGGAGAGAGAAAGAGAAAAAGGAAGAGGGAAAGAAAGAGAGGAGTTACCTTACTGTAAGCCCAGGATGACTTTGAACTAATGGTCCTCCTGTCTCAGCTCCACTCGCCAAGCACTGAGATTACAGATATGCACCTCCATTCCTGTCTCCTCAGCATTCACATCCTAAATTGTGGGTTTTAGCTCCCTTATCACTGTGACAGGACAAAGGACATAACCTAAAAAGAGGAAAGATGAATTTAGCTCTCAGCTCAGAGGTCTCAGTCTCTTATAGAAGAGGAGGGTGTGGCTGAGCAGCTCAAACAGCAGTGGTCAGGAAGTGGACAGTTTCCTCTAGTGAGACTCCACCTCCTAAAGTTTCCCCACTTCCCAGAATGCACCACCAGCTGGAGTTCAGGTGCTCAACGCATGAGACTTTGGGGACATTTTGGTGGGGACATTTCAGCCCAACAGTTTGGTTAGTGCTTCAGTTCCCTCCTTCCTGACAACAGATGTGGGCCCCTCCCATCTGCTGCCCATATCTGCTGGTAAACCCAGGGTGCAGATGGATAGAGGATGGATGTCTGAATCTGACCACCAGAGTACATTAATGGAGCATCTACGTGTACCAGATGCTTCCCAGAGCTCTTCTACCAGGATATCTTAGTGACTCTTTGCCACAGCCCCAACACACAGGTGTGAGGCTTTCAGCATCCCAACTCCACAGATGGAAAAATTAGACTCGGAAAGGCTCTGCTGCAGCTTCACTGAATAGCTGACAATGAGTGAAAAATAAGAATTAAACCTGAACTCTCAATCTCTTTTCTCTTCCAGAGGTGAAGCTTATATGGGCCAGGCCTTTTGATTTTGTGAAACACACAATCCATATTTATTATATGTAATTTACTATTTTAGCCATTCTTCATGTCCAGTTTGGTGGCATCAGGCACACTCAGGGTGTTATGTTACCATCACCACCACCCACCACCAGAACGTCCCCTCATCTCAAGATGAGGCTGTTGTATCCATAAAACCATAACTTCTCTTTGACCTCTTCTCTACTCCAGAATATCCAATCCTCTTCTTTTTATGCATAGAAACTTGACAATTTAGGTGGAATCACATATTATTCACCCCTTTTATCTGTCTTACTTCACTGAGTGCCACACCTTCAAGGTTCATCATGCTCAAGCATTTGTTAGGCTGTTCTTCCCTTTTTCAGGTTGTATACTAGTCCCATGAACAGATTAATGGTGTGTGCCACCACACTTGGCTGTTGGTTGGTTTTTAAATACTACCTACTCCCATGGGGATGAGTCAGTATCTCAGAGAGGTGCTATAGATTTGATTGGCATTTCCCTAAAAGTTGGTAATACCCAGCTTTCCCTACTTGGGTTTTCCACAGAAATGTCAGGCTTGGCCCTTGTCCCATGTTTTCGACTGGACTCTACTGGTGTTCTTTATATCCAGGATGCCAACGCTTTGTCACTGTGTCGTTTGTAAATGGCTTCTACCCCACTCCCCCCATGGCTCACTTGGTCTCTTTGTGGATAGCGTCACTTGACTTTTAGGGATTCAGTTTTGATGAAGTCCAACTGGTCCGTTCCCTTTTACTTCCTCTGCTTTGAGCGTCACATCCAAGAAGTTGTGGCCTGAAGTTTGTCCTTTGTGTTTTCTCTGAGTCTGATACTTTAGCTTGTATGTGTGTGCCTGTGCATGTGTAATAGCATGCATGTGTGTGTGTACTTGTCTGGGTGTGCATTGAGTGTGAGTGTGCACGTGTGTACGTTTGGAACATTTCAGTTGACTTTTCTAGATGTAGTTAGTGCTTTTCATGTGTTGTTCAACCCCTGAAGGAAAAGACAGCATCAGGATGTCCCTGACCACACAAAGTCCCCCCAGAGTCAATATCAGATGTACGGTATAGTGGTACACACTTGTGATGTGACTGTAACTCCAGTTCAGGAACGGGTGGGCCAGAGACAAGCAGATCATGGGGTTCACTGGTTAGTCACTTGAGATGCAGTGCTCTGGGTTTGGGGGGAACCTTCCCAAAAAATAAAGTGGGGAATGGTAGAGGAAGGTACCCAGTGTTGACCTCTGGTCTCCACATGCATTCCCCACAGGCGGAAGTATATACACGTACACACGAGTATACACACATGCATACCCATACAATCAATGTCCATGTCCCCTTATCTGGAAAGCTCCTAGCACCACCTACCCCATGCTGAGCTGACTTCACTGCCCCCTCCCTGAGTTCCCAGATGGTAGGACACAGCCCTAGCACACACCACTGCCCAGGTCGGCTTCCCCAAGCTGCTACCTGGCACATGGCTCTTGAGCCCCTCTGTAATCGCAGCCCTCTCAGCCTTCCCAGCCTGTTCCAGGATTCCTGCTTGAATGCAGGCTATCTAAGGTGCACAGGGGAATGGCCCATTAGTAACACTAACTCCTGTGCCATGCGCTGCTCTGCACTGATCTTATGATTAAACTCTGCTTCTGTCATCTCGTTTAATCCCCTTGTCGGCGCATTGGGGGCAGGTTCTAACAAGCACGCTACACTGATCCAAGCCCACAGGCCCGTTTTAATGTTTTGTTTTGAGGTCAGTTCTGGTCTGGAACTCACTCTGTGTCCCAGGTGGGCCTCAAATCTGTAAGCGTCCTATCTCTGCCACCTGAGAGGCGGAGATGACAGGCCTGTACCCTTGGCCCAGCTACCCTATGCTTTAAATAATTACAGCCACTGAGATTCACCCAGAGGGTCTGGGCACCAAGGAGAAAACAGAGGGACCAGAGAAGGGCAGCCTTCCGTGGAGCCCCATGTATTTGTGTGTGTGCGTGTGTGTGCATGTGTGTGTGCATGTGTGTGTGCATGTGTGTACATGTCTGTGTACATGTGTGTGTGCGTGTGTGTGCATGTGCATGTGTGTGCGTGTATGTGCATGTCTGTGTGCATGTGTGTGCATGTGTGTGCATGTGTGTGCATGTGTGTGTGCGTGTGTGTGTGCGTGTGTGTGTGTACATGTCTGTGTAAATGTGTGTGCGTGTGTGTGCATGTGTATGTGCATGTGTGTGCGTGTGTGTGCATGTGTGTGCATGTGTACATGTGTGTGCATGTGTGTGCACGTGTGTGTGCGTGTGTGTGTGCGTGTGTGTGTGCGTGTGTGTGTGTGCATGTGTACGTGTGCTTTATGCTTCTCCCTCTTTGTCCTGCAGGTTTGAGGCGGGCTAACTCAGTGCAGGCCTCCCGCCCTGCCCCGGCTTCAATGTCAAGTCCGGCACCTCCTCAACCTGTGCAGCCAGGTATCTGCCATGCAGCCACCATGTGCCCTGGTGTCCCCTAGCAGTGACCTCAGTTCCATCACCTTGCAGGACTGAAAGAGGCTGAGCCATGAGCTCTTTTTAGACCCTGGGGTGAAGGGAGCCCTGTGCTTAGGGCAGGACTGTGGCAGAGGGGTGGTTGGTTGGAGCATACTGTCCACTGTGAAGGGGTGGGGCTGGGACAGACACTGAAGTATGTCCTCATCCCCACCCCCTTTCCTTCCCCTTGCAGGGCCCCCTGGGGGCAGCAGGGCCGCTCCTGGGCAAAGCACAGGCAAGTGTGAACTACCCTTTCAGAAAACACATTTACTCAGTCTGTACCCCAAAACCTGTCTGAGGAGGCCTAAGCAGCCCACTTTCCAAACCCCTGAACTGTCCACACCCACAAGCCAGCTCCTGCAGCTCAGAGTCCAGACTGCCTGGTCCTTCACTTCCTACTGTGTTACTCCTGGCCAATGACTAAACCTGTCTGAGCTTCATTTTGTTGGTTTGTTTGTTTTTTATGAAGTGTGAGTCAGGCTAGGACTTCCCTCACAATCTTGTTGAGGAGATTAAACAAACTAAAACAGTAAAAAAAAAAAAAAAAAAAAAAAAAAAAGTTAAAACAAAAAACCCAAAACCAACCAAACAAACAAAATCAATTTAAAAAAAAAAAACACAACTTTTTGTGAAGGCTGATTTGTGTTTGGCTCATGATAAGCAAACCAATTATTCCATGACCCACATACAGGCCTCAGGTGCCTGGTTGTTATGATTACAAGGTAACCATTTTCTTTCCATGGACCTTCATTGTTTAATGCAACTAATACTGCTTGCCGGAGAAGCACCTTTGGATTCAGTAACTCCAGTTCTACAACTAAGGAACCTTAAGGCTCAGAGATGTTAAGGAACTGGTCCTACATCCCACAGCTGAGGTTAAGGTCGATGCCATCCGGCTGAATCCACACAGCTGACTGATCTCCCTGGGGTCTGGCTTGCTTTTATCCAAATCGGTCCTGGGGCTTGACTATCTCATGTAGATTCCAGGACCCCTGATTCTGAGTGCGGCCTGGGAACCTGCATTCTGGAAGCTTCCTCCAGCTGCATTGCTGTGACACAAACTCAATACTGCCTCTTCTCTGTCTCTTGTCCCCACAGAGGCCACTCCAAGCGACTCTGGTTATCCAGGGGCTGTCGCCCCAGCCCGGGAGGAGAGGACAGGACCCGCAGGGGGCTTCCCGTCAGCTCCCCACACTACAGGCCCCTATTCCCAGGTGGCCCCTGCTCGTCAGCCGCCACCCGCAGAGGAAGAGGAGGAAGCCAATAGCTATGACTCTGATGAAGCAAGTAGGTGGCTCTTGGTGGGGGAAGGAAGCATGCTGGGAAAAGTCACACAGAAACTGAGCTTGGGATGGGGCGGGAATGGGGTTCTGGATTCAATAGACGCACCCTCACCGCTGACATGTGGACCCTCAAAAATTCTGTGGTTCAGGGCCTTGCATGTGCTGGGAAAGGGTTACTGCCCTCTGCTTCCCGGTGCTGCAACGACTGATGAGCGCCACCGTGTGGTCAGTATTGGTACCGTATGTCTTATTGAATTAAAACACAAGGGTGCAGCTCATTGAGTCATTTAAAGCCTCTTGTGGGGTTTCTTGAGGTTCTACCCACATAGCAATCTACCAAACAGAATTATCTGGTGTCCCACAACACCCCCCAAACAGGCATGAGTCCCTGCAATGTGTCTATCATCTGATGTCATTTTTTTCTCATGAGTGGGATTGTTGCAAGATCACTCAGTGATTCAGTAGGTACATATTGTGTCCCTCTTAAACTCAGACCTAGAGGCCCAGGGAAAGACAGACAGACAGGCAGACAGACAGACAGACACACCCCTCAGGGTTTTTTTCCCCATCAGCTATGGCTGAAGCAGCCAGGACAGCCTGTGGATGCTATTGGGAGGTGGGGCGACCTGGTTCGGACACCTAGCCCATATTGCTTTCTGTGTAGGCTGATGGGAGGGTAAACTGAGGCACCTCAGGGACAGTGCTTGGTAAACTGGACACTGCCATGATGGTGTTGTGATGAGCACACACGAGAAATGGCAGCAGTGTCAACAATAGAAAGGGTGGAGGCAGGAGAGTGGGCCCTGGTAGAGCAGAGATCCAGGTGGGCCTCCCTTCCCACCAGAGCCAGCCACACTCCCTACTTCCTGTCCCTAGTGAGTGGGAATGGGGCATTCTCCCCTCTCATTCTGCATATAGTCTTAGAAAGGGTCCCTGCGACTCAGAGGCGGCCATTTAGTTAGGGTTCCTATTCCTGTGACAAATGCTATGGCGAAAGCACTCTCAATCTGGCAGGGGAGGAAGTCACTATTCAAACACACACAGAGATAATTGCAGAAGACTCCCAGGAAACAGGCTGACCAGGACAGAGTATGAGATCAGGGCCTGGCCCTCCCTCTCTCCTGTGGTCCTAGTACCTAGCTGAGGCTGGACACATTGGTAAGCGCCCAGGAAATGTTTGTGGATTGACTAAACAAATGTTTTCTTGGCTCCTGTCTCTGTTGCCTGCAGCCACACTGGGTGCCCTGGAATTCAGCCTCCTCTATGACCAGGAAAACAGCAACCTGCAGTGTACCATCATCAGGGCAAAGGTGCGTGGGGACCCCTGGGGATGCTCTGGTTTCCTAAGGACAAGGGATGAGTCCCAGGCCCAGCTCCTGCTGTCACTGACCTGTGGCAATGACAAGATGTGAACAGGGTTGTCATCAGCCATGGCAGACTTCTTCCTCTGGGGATGGTCCTGTGGCTGCTTCCTGGGAGTGGGAGGCCGCTTGACTGTGAGGGTCACTTAGGCTACCCACAACACACAGAGGGGATGCTGCAAGAGCCACCAAGACTTGGTGACTCTGTGTGTTCTGCTGATGTCATCGTCCGCCAGGGGCAGCAGTGAGGTGGTAACTTTGGCTGTGGATACTAAAAGATGTGTTTGTGCTGCAGCAGAGGGAGGTGCAGCAGCAGCAAGCTGCATGGAATGTGAACTGAATGAATTCCAGACCTTGAGGGACCCGGGCTGAACTTAAGTCTGGGACCCCCAGGAAAAAACCAGCAAGATCTGGACCAGAGTCCCCTGGAGTGACTGCTGGCCCAGGACACCTTGCTGTGTGTTACTTGAGAAAGTAGCTGACCCTCTCTGACTTAGTGGAAGAGACAATGGTGTCCTTCCTTCAAGAAAGGCTGGACAAACTGAATGCAAAGTGGCTGGCAATTTGTGGGTGTCTAGGACAGTTCCCTCTCTCTGCCTGCTGGCCTGTGGTGGACATGACACAACCCTCTTTTCACTCCCCAAATGCCCCAGTTTGGAGGATAAACAAGAACCACCATGCTTAAAGAAACTCCTGCATTGACCCACCCAAGCCTAAGCCATTTGGGGGGCATGCCCACATTGGGCCCCTACCACGTACTTGACACTACAGTGAGTGAGCCCCTACTGTGTACTGGACTCTACAGTGAGTGATCAGGTGGATACTACTCTCTTCCCCTCTATGTTGGTGACCAAGTGAGGGAGGCATTTTTATATTTGCCCCATTAGTCAGGTGGGAAAACTGAGGCCAGAAAGCTAATGCCTGGGATTACATCCTAGATATATGAGGCTCATCTTCAAAGACAAGCTTTGATTCTTTACTCCCTGAACCCCACAGAGCTGTGGATACTGTTGGCCCCATCAATCAGATGAGCAAGTTGAGGTCACAGGATTCCTACCTAGCTTGGGTGGGTGGACAGTATCTGAGATGCAGAACCTTGAGGGTTGTTCAACTCATCTCAGCAAATGATGCTAAAACCACTTTCTCCTGGTCTTGGAGGGACAGACAGTGTGAGCCTCATCCTCCAAGTGGGGGGAAATTGAGGCCTCAAATGAAGGCAGGGGTCAGGCCCTGGATTCAGGAGTGTCTCTGTCCGCAGCCACTCCTCTCTGGTATTTATGCTGGAATGTCCTCTCCATCCCTTTTACAATACCCAGGGGCAACTGTGCTAAAACCTGCCCCACTCCTCCACTCAACAGCGTGAAAACAGGCTCAGAGGGGCCACACAGCTAGGGAGTGGTATGTTGTTAAACTCTGTACCTGATGCTCCAGGTTATCTTCATGGTACAGCATCCCTCTGTTCTGTCCCCACTGTTACGACAGATGCTATCCCCTGTTGAGGCTGACCATCTTGTTGCTGCCTCCTTCTTTTGCAGGGACTGAAGCCCATGGACTCCAATGGCTTAGCGGATCCCTATGTGAAGCTGCACCTGCTGCCTGGAGCCAGCAAGGTAGACAGCAGCCCAGGGGTCTGCATCTCCCCTCTGAGAGCTTGCAGGCATGGAGGACACTGCCTGTGGACTCAGGAAACATCCCCATGTCCCTGCCTCAGAAGGAGTGGTGTCATTTCTGCTATAAGCCATGTCTATCTCCACGGAAGTTGCCTGTGCTTTCTCACTTAAGGGGATGTTTGAGGAGGGTCTCCAGGTTGTCTCTACTGATGGGTGCCTGTCTGTCTGTCTGTTTCTTTGGTCTCTAGTCCAACAAACTTCGTACAAAGACCCTACGCAACACGCGGAACCCTGTGTGGAATGAGACGCTGCAGTATCACGGCATCACAGAGGAGGACATGCAGAGAAAGACACTCAGGTGCCGGTGGAGGGTGGGACTCCAGCAGGAACCGTGAATGCAGGGGCCTAGCATGTCTAAATACACACAGCTGCCAGCCTATGTTGTCCAGGCAGCCGTGTTAGCCATCTGCACAAGCGCAGTACACACTGAGGGGTTTTGTCCCTGAATGTGTTTGGATGCAGAACCCACAGTTGCATGCATAGCTGAGATTCACAGGCATGGTGCTGAAGAAGCAACAGAGAAGGGTAGATAAGCAGACAGGGTTGTGTGGCTGTCATCCCAGCACTTGGAAGGGCCGAGGCCAGCCTGGATTGCATAGTGAATTTGAATCTAGCCTGGGCTACATCGCAAGTCCTACCCTGGGCTACATTGTATGTATGTATCTCAGTAAAGGTGATGTGTACTGTGTGGTCACATTTACACAGGATCAAGTGCAGGCTCATGGCCCCTTGCAGGCAAGAGTGGATGGGTCTCTTAGGGTAAGGGAGGGTCTAGGGAAGGACCCTGACTGAGGACCTCTAGCATTGGAATGTTCTAGCTCTTATGTGAGCAATGATTATATGGGATCATGAGATGCATAGACCCCTCAGGCTGTGAACTAAGTCCCTCACCCGACTGCAGGGAAACTGAGGCTGCACCCAGTGCCCCTCACCCAGGTACATGGGGGGGCTCAGTGTCTATTGCTCTTTCTCTCTGGCCCATGGCAGGATCTCCGTGTGTGATGAGGACAAGTTCGGCCACAATGAGTTCATTGGCGAGACCAGGTTCTCACTCAAGAAGCTGAAGGCTAACCAGAGGAAAAACTTCAACATCTGCCTGGAGCGGGTGATCCCGGTGAGCTCGGGACTGCCACCTTCCCTGTGCTGTGTGGGCTCAGGCAGGGGCTGTGGGGCCGAGCACCAGGAGGAGGTGAGGGGACTTAGGATGGGGGAAGCAAATGGCCAATGTCACCCAAGAAGCAGAGAGGAAGCTTCAGGGTGGGAGGTGCACCTAGCGGCTGGGAAAGGGTGTGTTACTGGGCACTGGGCTGTGATTCTACAGGCAATTCTGTGGCTCACACAGAGCAAGTTGTGAAAGCCAGTTCTGGGCATGAGGTGTCTCTTTGGGACCCTGTCTGGTAGCAGCTGGTGGTTCTGGCTTCTTTTTCTTACTCAATAAATCCAGCTGCTCAGAACAATGGTTAAGTTTGTGCCTTTATCACCACCAGCTTCTGAGTATGTTTGTCTTGCTAAAGTGGACATGGCTGTCCCAAGACATGAAGGTAGCCAGGTAGGCAGGTGTTTGAGGAGTCACCTCACTGTGCTGCACTAAGGACAGGGGCCTCATCAACGCTGTCCCCTCCTCTCAGCTGTCCTCATCTCTATAGGGTGGGAGTTGAGTTTAATCTGTAGCTCACAACCCTGTTTCTCAGAGCCTTAGGATCCATCAGAAGGGCCACTCAGGAGAAACATCTGATAGGCCAGATCCCAAGAGCTCTGAACTACACAGCCCAAGCAAATGAAGACTTGTGGTTTATGTGTGGGCGCTCTGACACTTGGACCGTCTTCTGGTCCTCTCTGACCTTTGGTGTCGCCTTCTGTAAATTGGGGAATGCAGTAAAACGCAAACACAGCTGCTGCTCCCATCTTGACGGTTAATGCTGTGTAAACATCAGTGAACGGGAGAGTGTTGGGGTGCACAGCCTACCTTCATGGCTCTGGGCCCTCCTTGGGCAGGGGGATGAGCCCCCAAGGTTACCCTCTCATCCTGTCTCCTCCCACAGACGAAGCGTGCAGGGACCACAGGGTCAGCCCGTGGCATGGCACTCTATGAGGAGGAGGTGAGCTGACTGTCGGTGGGAAGCCCGATGGCTCTGCTGAGACCACCAGGGGCCGCTTTTCTCTCCTCTTCCTTCCATGTCCTCCTCTCTCTCTATCCACAAACTGACCTGCTGGCTCATAGGGGGAGGGGGAATGCCCTTCATCCGCAGGATCGGGCCATAGGAAGAGGGGATGGTCCCTATTCTCGCACACCCATGTTCTGGAACCTACTTCACACAGCTTCTGTTGCTGGCTCTACAGATGAGAGCAATGGCATGCTCATCCCTTTGTAGGGACATGAGGCCAGTCAGGTCAGGGGTCAGGGTCAGCATCTGTCAAGGTCAGTGACTAGGATGGAGCCCAGCTCCAATGAATGATCCAAGTTTGGGTTCTGCCCCCATCTAACTCAAGCTGAGCTCTGGCCCAATGAGCATTCGAGAGCCTAGCCTGGGGCACACTGCTGTGCCAAGAGACGTACCCGCTGTCCATGGTGCTGACCGACCCCTTAGCAGGCTGTCGCCCTCTGCCCTCCACAGCAGTCCCCCACCATTACCACCCACATCTCCCGCCTTTCTGAGCCCTGTACTGCCTTTTGCCACATGCAGCAGGTGGAGCGAATTGGCGACATAGAGGAACGTGGCAAGATCCTGGTGTCCCTCATGTACAGCACACAGCAGGGCGGCCTCATCGTGGGCATTATCCGCTGTGTGCACCTGGCCGCCATGGACGCCAATGGCTACTCAGATCCCTTCGTCAAGCTGTGAGTTGGGCAGCACCCCAGGGAGATGAGAGAGGATCTGGGAAGACCCCCTGGAAGAGAGAGGATGAAGCCAAGAGACACCTCATTATTAACCACTGAAGCCCTAGGTCACACAACAGCTCAAGTATGCCCAGCACAGACTGAAACTGAGCATCAGGAAGTCAACCAGTGTGATGCCTGCCACATGGGAACCCTTGTACCTGCCCCTTCCTAGAGTGACTGGCATAGTGATCCCACTTATGACCCATAGCTGCCTTTGTCCCCACTAGCTCAGATTTCCACCATCAAAGAAGCAATGTGGTTTCATTCAAATCCACTATAGAAACACCCAAAATATCTGGGCGGTGGTGGCACATGCTTTTAATCTCAGCACTCGGGAGGCAGAGGCAGACAGATCTCAGTGAGTTCAAGGCCAGCCTGGTCTACAAAGTGAGTTCCAGGACAGCCAGGATTGTTACACAGAGGAACCCTGTCTTGAAAAACCAACCAACCAACTAAACAAACAAACAAAAAAGAAAAGAGAGAAAGAAAAGAAATAAATAAATAAAAGAAATACCCAAAATATCTCAAACTTGGGGTTATTCTAGCAATACTGTCAAATCTGCTCCCCTGGTGGCCGCTGGAGTTAGATGTCCCCACCCTGAGAGGGCTTTAGCTTTTTATGCTCACTCCTATAGAAAATACCATAAGAGTATAAGCAGACTTGGTTAGTGGAATGTTCATCAGCTTTATCAGCTGTTCTGATCATTAATGTCTGTTAAACCCTGTCCCCCCCCCCCGCCAAAGTACTTGTTTACACCCATAAGCTACTGGTTGAGCACCTACTGTGTGCTAGGCACTGTGCCCAACTCTGAGAAAGAGCTTCCTGGGTGGAGGAAACAGTGTTGTGTGCAAAGGCCGTGGGGTGGAGAGGAGGATGAGGGAGGGGCGGTCAAGAGCATGATGAGAGAAAGAGAGCTCGGGTGAAGCTGGGACCCAGCCACATGGACAATGGGGCCTTGGGAGGAGTTTAAACTCTCCCCTGAGGTCACAGGAAGCCAGCAGTCAGTACTGAGACACAGAATGCCATGAGGGGCTCAGAGCAGGGCCCCCACCCTCCAAGGTGTCACCAGTGTTGGGTCACTTTCTGACTTATGGTTGTCTCTTCCCAGCTGGCTGAAACCAGACATGGGGAAGAAAGCCAAGCACAAGACTCAGATCAAAAAGAAAACCCTGAACCCCGAGTTTAATGAGGTAAGGCTGTCTCCATCTTTGTCATACTGGTGGAGACTTCCTGCCTGTGAGAGAAGATTGAATCCCTTCCAGAAGAGTCCTGACTGCCTCAAAAGAGCAGTTTTTTTTAAATCGATAAGCTTGAGTTATGTCCGAAGGAAGGGGACGGACTCCCTGCCGCAAAGCCCACCGCTTGAGAATGCTGCAGGAGGAAGCTGTTTTCAGATGCTGACCTAAGCCACCCCCAGCGTCTTTCCTGAGCAGTGTGAACATGAATTAGATCAGTGGCACCCTCAGCCACCTCCCTCAAGTCCCACTCACATAGGCTCCCTCCCCTGTGTTCTCAAAGGCCTCCATCTGGGCTCAGACCCTGGGATGTTATACCTGAATCATTGCAGTATATGCCTGCTCCCTCCTCCAAGTCCTGACACCGGCTCCATATAAGAGCAGAAAACTTGAATATGAATGTATTCAAGTGGCTGTACCACCCTCTGCCTCTTTTCCTCCCTGACCAACTCCTATCCATGCCTCAAAACACAGAATCTGTGTGATCTCCCCCACACAAGCTTTCTCCTACATTTCCAGAGTCCTTGGCCCTCCCTCTCATACCAAACCCCTGCTTCTCCATTATTCTTTGCTTCTCCATTACATGTGGATAAGCCAGCCAAGCAGGAGGGGGCCGGGTGTCTGTCCCACCAGCAAAGGACTGAATAAGGAGTATGAAGGAATGCAATTGTAAGCCCACCTACTTAGACAGCCTCCATTTCAAAGCCCAAACAAAGGGAAAAATATACTCTTGGGACGCAAGGAGACCAGGGCTGAACTGGACCCCCAGCCCTGAGTCCCACCCTGTCCTGCTTGGGCTGTCCCACCACCCCTGTGCTCTCCCTCTCACCTTGCCTCTGAGTTATTAATACTGGATTCTACCATGCTTTGTAAGTGGGGGAGGGATGTATGATGGGTTTTGAAAACCAGCATCCAAACACTTACTCAGGAGACTAACACTGCAGCTTGCCCTACCCTCAGCAAGGCTAAGGCAAGAGGTCCAGAAGTTCAAGGCTATCCTAGACTATCTAGTGAGACCCCAAGACACTGTCCCAAAATAAAGCAAAACAAGAAGAAGAAGAGGAGGAGGAGAAGGAGGAGGAGGAGGAGGAGAAAGAAGAAGAAGAAGAAGAAGAAGAAGAAGAAGAAGAAGAAGAAGAAGAAGAAGAAGAAGAAGAAGAATCCCATCATCTCTCCCCTCCCTTGGCCTCAGAAGTGACTTTTCTTGGAAGCAACAATAGTACACACTTCCGAGTTTTAGAGACATGCAGCCAGATAGATCAGTTATAGTTCATCTGACGTCACTGTATACACCACAATCAGAAATGCATTTCCTGGAAAGTGTCCTATGTAGATTGTCATGGATGGATGGAGTGATCTTGCCCCCTGGATGCCAAAGGTGGTGCCTCTAATGACTGAAAATTAGAGACAGCTTACACACTCATCTGTGAGGGACCAGGTTACACCTGGACAGTCACTAAATGTTACCATTAACATGATGGTGTAGACCCAAGAGATGGCACAGAGAGAACGGGCCCTGATGGCCTGTGTTTGTTTTCTGAGACTTACATGGTAGGAGACTCGCACCAGTGGTCCTCTGACCTCTATACGTGAGCCATGGCTTGCAAAGACACATAAACACGTGAATATATTTTCAAAGTGATGACATTTAAAACATTCTTTGTTCATTTGTGTTTTTTGAGACGAGGTCTTGCTTGGTACTCCTGGTTAGCTTAGAACTCACTTTGAGCTAAAGCTGGCCTAAAACCTGTGGTGGTCCTCTTGCCTCAGCCTTCCAAGTGCTTGGGTTAAAGACATGAACCATCTCATCCACATGAAATATTTTTGGAAAATGTGCTAAGTTGGTTTTTTAACATAGGTTACAGAGTAAAAAGAGGAAACCTAAAAACTTTAGGTTTAGGATTCATTGTTGTTGATTTTTTTAAAATCACACATCAGTATAAATGAACATGGGCTGTTCTTGGGTGGCTGTGGATAATGTGTCATGGCTTCCACTGACAGTGGCCATTCTTGGGTGGCTGTGGATAATGTGTCATGGCTTCCACTGACAGTGGGGTTCTTGGGTAGCTGTAGATATCATGGCTTCCTTCCTTGTTTGTCTGAATAATGAACATGACTGAATTTTACAAGTTGGCAGGAAAGTTGCTTTAAAAAAACCATATTGTTAAGCTTAGTGGTGGCTGAGGCTGAGGTAGGAGACTAATCTATGAGTTCAAGGCTAGCCTGGGCTACACAGTTGAGTTCAGGCCAGCCTGAGATAACTGAGTCCCTGTCTCATAAGCAAAATCAGACAAAGACCTCTGTCTGGGCTTTTGTCAATCCCTAAATGCTAAGTAAGGTCCTATGCCCTCTCAGGAAGCCTCCAGAAGGGCTGAGTTCACCATTCTTGGCCAGTGACTGCCCCAGTACCAAACAGACCCAGCTGCCAGAGTCACCAGGATTTATTGTCCTAAGGAGTGTTTGTTGGAAAGAGATGACAGGCCTGGAGTAGGAAGAATTCTTTGCTCCCAGAATGCCTTGCTCCAGGGACTCCTCAGGCTCCTTCCCTAGCTGCCTGTGTTGGAGGCTCTGGGGATTGTTGCTCAGCCTTCCCTATCCTGTTCACAGGAATTTTTTTATGACATCAAACACAGCGACCTGGCCAAAAAGTCCCTGGATATCTCAGTATGGGACTACGACATCGGCAAATCTAACGATTACATCGGTGAGTGCCCCGGTTCTGCGGATAGCCCCCTCGTCTGGCTCTCCACCGAGAGGATGTCTTCCAGGGATGGGGAGACCATGCTCATACCACCCCATCTTCCCGCAGTTCTGTAGGCTCAGAGCTAGCCTGGGACTCAGGGTCCTGACTTTGATCCCACCTGGATGTGCCTTTACATGAAAAGGTACACACCATGGCAGAATAACTAAACCCCAGGAGAGCAGAGAGTGCCCTCTGCAGGAAACAAGAGAGTCCTACCCCCAATCTCTATGCAAGTTCCCAAAGAAAGCTTTAACCTCACCAGCCCTTCTAAATGCCAAGGATAGACAATCCCAAGTGTGGCACAGGGAGAGATTCCAGGCAGGGATCAGGGTGAAAGCGACCCTTTGGGGAGCAACAGTGACTGCCCAGTATGTGGAGACCATGCAGAAAAATAAAGTAGAAGCTGGGCAAAGATTTGCAGGGGCTTGGTGCTGCAGTAAAGAGCCATAGCAGGTTCTTGAGGTTCAGAGGGTTACATAGTAACAGACCTCTTCTGAGGGGTGGGCAAGGCTGGGGATGTCACTGCTTGGTGGCCATCTTTCTCACAATTATACTCTTGAGTCAAGGGACATGAGTGGCCACAGTCCCTCTCCACTGACCTGCCCCCCCCCTTCCTTCTCTGCTCATCCCCAGGAGGCTGCCAGCTGGGGATCTCAGCCAAGGGTGAGCGCTTGAAACATTGGTATGAATGTCTGAAGAACAAGGACAAGAAGATTGAACGCTGGCACCAACTGCAGAACGAGAACCATGTGTCAAGTGATTAGGACCTAGCGCCCCAGTGCCCCTGTCTCCACCCTAGTTGCTCTCCCCTCTCAGAGCCTTCCTTGTTACCCTTGAGTCTTTGATATCTCTCCCAGTTCATACTGCTGCCAAAGACCTGCTCCCTGGGCTGCAGGGTCTGTATGCGAGCCCTCTCTGGTCCCTAGGGTAGGGTGGTGGGAGTGGGGAGATCTGACCTTGAACCCGTACAAGGTCATTCCCTGTGTCCTGTCTACGTGTCACTTTGGGCATTGGCAGACCCACAGACTGTAGGGACCAGCACAGGGACAGAAATTGTGCATCGAGACTGCCTCTGACCCCCCTCAAGACACCCCAAGAACAAACAGACCCACCCCGACTTTTAGACCTACCAGGAAATAGACATACAGAATAGACAGAGGGTCTGTACCCCTCTTCCAGGAAGATGCCCAGCTGCTTCCTAAGAAGCTAACCTAATCTTCCTAACTTCCCTTGCTCTCTCTCCTTGCACCTCCTTCCTCCCTGCTCACCTTCCAGCCTACCAATGCCCCTCACCCACCCTCCTGCCCTACTGCCTCTCTTCTCCTCTCCCCTCCACAGTGGGGGATGCGAGGCAGAGCCTCCCCTCTCCTTCCTGTGCCCATTGCCAGCCTAGTCAGCAACCTCACAAGCTGAATAAACCTGGCTCCACAACCCTGAAGTCACATTTTCCATTGGCATGCCTGGCTGTCCTCGGCCTGGGGGCTGCAGCGGGCACAGCCTGGGTGCATGGCAGCCTCCTCCAGCACTATAGACACCTTGAGGTCCAGGATTTTTTTTTCATTCCTGGCCCCCCAAATGGGTACAGGTGGCACAGAGCTCTGGATCTGAGGTGACCTCCCAGGCTACGCATTTTACCCCATTTTCTACTCTTCAGCAATGAACAGACACATTGCCCCCCTCTCCCACCCAGAGCCCTGCTGTTCTCTGTCTCTCTTCCCCAAGGTTCCTGGGGGCGATCAAATAACAAGAACTCTAATTGGGACAGAACAGCCTTGGTCTGTCACAAATCAAGAGGTATGTGGAGTCAGGCCATCATCCACGCACGAGAAGAAAGTCTAGTTTTTCCCACTTTGATAGTGTTTCCCCATCGGCGTCCAAGCCCTACCTCACCCCACTGTGACCGTCAGACTAAGACTAAAAGCTCTCATTCCCACGCACGAGAAGAAAGTCTAGTTTTTCCCACTTTGATAGTGTTTCCCCATCGGCGTCCAAGCCCTACCACACCCCACTGAGGCTGTCAGACTAAGACTAAAAACTCTCATTCCCAACTCAGTCTTGCTAATTTCTTCCAATGTCCCTTGGGATTCCCCCACCCACCCAGTGACTTGTGCTGTTCCTGAGGGACTCTTGTGTTACCCTGAAATGACTCTCTGTTTAGTCCCCGCAGTCCCCATGCTCTGCCCACTTCCCTGTCATGGTCGCCCTTAGGAGAAAGCATGCTGGCTGTGTCTCCCAAGCCTAATGCGGGTTCTGGCTCTGGATTTGGAATGCAGCCTGCTCGAAGCGTCCTGATACCCCTGCTCCTCCCCCACACCCCCTTTAGGTAGAACACGCGCCCCTAGGTGCATGCACGATGCCCACTGCCTTTACTTTGCACTGATGTAGCCAAAAATAAAGTAGGAATATGCAAGAAAGTGGCTGTCCTGCTTCTCTTCCTTGGTGGTTTCTCGAAGTTTCTTCTGCCTTCCTACCAGGATATGTATTGGCTTGGGGATCACAAGAAATTTATTGGGGTGCAGTGAAGGAACTCAGCAGAGGTACTGTGCTGTTTGACTGATTTCATCCTGAGAATAGGCAGATTGGCTCAAGAAACCCAGTCCACCATCTTCTTAGAAGCCAGCTTGTGGGAGCCCACCAAACAGAGGGCATACCTTCATCCCCACACTCCCATCTTTGGAGAAGTACCAACAACCATGGGACTAAGTATACTGAGATCCCGAGATCTGGGAAGATGGTTCAGTCAGTAAAGAGCCTGCCTGGCAACATGAGGACCAGAGTTCAGATCCCCAGAACCTATGTGAAGAGTCAGTTTTGGGCCAGTGGGTAAAGGTTCCTGTTGCATGAGCCCGGAGACCTGATTTCAATCCCTGGAACAGCACGAAAGTGTAAAGAGAGAACAGATTCCACATAGTGTTCCCCTGAGCTGCACATGCATGTCATGGTACAATGCTCCGCCCATATCACACGCACGCACGCACACACAGAGTAAAGCTGGGCGTGGTGGTGTGGGATTATAGTCTGAGCACTGGGGAGGGAGAAGGAGGAGAGAAGCCCTGGTGATCAATGAGCTCCAGGTTCACTGAGAGACCTTGCCTCAAAAAATAAGTAGAGTGCAATAAAGAAAGACACTATTGTCGACCTCTGACCACCAGTTACACACATGTACAGACATATAAACATGTATACATACATATAACCCCCAACACACACAACTCCCCACCTCGAAACAAGACTCGAGTGGGGGCCTGTTCAATTCATTAATTTATCAAACAGCTGAGAAAACAAAGACTCAAGGAATAGGAGGGAGCTGGGCCTCCAGACTCCCAGCCCAGTGCTCAACACAGTGGCAGCAACTAAGGATTGCACAGACCATCCAGTACCACCTGTGTGTTCTACCACCTCCTATCGCCCAGGGAGCCAGATAAATACATCTAGAAAAATCTGCCCGCCCCTCTCGACAGGGTCTCATATAGTCCAGGACAGCCCTGAACTCCCCATGTAGTCTAGGCTAGCTCTGAACTCCTGACTCCCCACCTTCACCTTTAGAATGCTTGGATTGGTTGCAGGTGTGTATGACACCCTTGGCTCCTCAAGAGGATTTAAATTTTTTTTCCATTCTCCTTTATTCCATAAACACCTAGTTACAAGTTTAACAAATGATTTATTTTTATAAAGACAGAGAAGGGTATAGAAAAGTGTCTTTTTGTGATGTGGGGTGGGAGAAGGGACAAAGAGTTGGGAACTAGTCCGCTCCCTCCACAGCCCTCACAGGACGATGGCATCTGCAGTGGGGCCCTGAAGAAGAGGTGGGCAAGGGTCCAGGGGAGCTGAGGGATGGTGATCCCTAAACCCAGAGTTTGTACCCCAAAACATTCAATGCGTGGCAGGGGTTTAAGGAAGATGAGGTGGCTCGGATATGGAGCAGTAAAATGAAAACTAGTTAGTGGAGTCAAGATGGGTGGGGTCACCATGGTGAGGGGAGAAAAGGTGGAAAACGTTGGTAGAGGGCAGTAAAAGGTTCTCCCTGAGATCCCCAGGGAGAGGTGGGGGCCAGCTTGCCTGTTAATTTAATATTAAATTGGGATGAAGTTGGGAAGGACAACGTTATTTCACGGGATGATCTCTCAGCCTCTCAGCCTGTACAAAAGAGACTGAGAGCCTGGGGCCTTCATCAGTTATAGCAAAGGGACTGTCAGGAGGGGGAGTCCTCAGGTCACTGGATAGCCAGGCAGGGAGGCCCCTTGCCTCCTCGTCCTCCACCAGCAGATGCCTCATGCCATGGAAATCCCAGAGGGCACTGCTGCCTGAATCGGGATGTCTCCCTTTGCCATTCATCATCAAATGGTGTGGGAGAATTGTCTGTATTCTGTCAATCATGTTTTAAGTAAACGCTGATTGGCCAGGCAGGAAGTATAGGCAGGTCAACCAGTCAGGAAGTAGAGGCAGGGTGATGAGAACAGAATTCTGGGAAGGAGGAAGCCCATTCCTCCATTCCAGCCCAGACCGCTGAGAAGCAAGATGTAACCTGCCCAGCTGAAAGGTACTGAGCCATGTGGCCAACATAGATAAGAATAATGGGTTAATATAAGCTATAAGAGCTAATAAGTAGCCTGAGCTAATGGGCCAATCAGTTTTATAACTTACGGAGATCTCTGTGTGATTTTCTTTGGGGCCTGCTGGCTGTGGGACCTGGTGGGAGGACAGAAATCCTGACAAGCAGGCTCTCATGTTACAATCAAAGGCTGCGGCCCCACTTTCATCCAGGTTGATGGATGTCGTCCTGCTGTTCTTCCTGGTCCCCTGTGTGGTGACTTCAGGAGCGAGCTCTGGAGGATGTGAGCCCTGTCCCAAATGTCATGGCCAATAGACATCTGCTCTAGACCACCGTCTAGACTCCCGGACAGTCCTCCTTGTCTCCTGGATCCTGCTTGGGGCAGAGCGCATCTCAGATGTCTCCTGGTAAACTTTCAGGGCTCCACCCCCAGTGCTGGAGTAGATGACAGTGGAGGAAGAAAAGGCCTGGCAGTTGCCTCCTGTGGCCACGTGTTACTGTTCCCAGTCATGTCATTCATGTCCCAAACATGTCCATGAAGCCACCAGACATTCCTAACATCCCAAAGGGAGAGACAGCCCCAGCCTGCATCCTGTGGCTGGCGGGCCTGGTTGCTGGCGTGTTACCATCTGTGATGCTAAGAAAGGGGCTATATCCAAAGCCGCCTAACAACATGTGGCGCATATACTGACGGTGAATTGCGAAGGGGTCCATCAGGAACATGGGATCTTCAGGCTTCTTGTCCTTCATGAAGCTGAACATCCTGATCTCAGCTCCAGGGGGCTCCACACGGTCGGTCCCCTCCACCCTGCCACCAACGCCATCTGGCCGCCATTTCTCGTGGGGGGCGGGCTGCAGGAGCAGGGTTGTGGCCTAGGATGCAGGATTGGTCCATGTGGGAGCTTCTTGCCTACAGCACCGCCTCCTGGCTCAGCGGCTACCTCTGTACCGCCCCCCACCCCCAGCCCTCAGCCTGCAGAGCTGAACCTCTCCTCAAGACTGTATTGTGTCCCTGAAAGACAAGAGCCGTTTATTGGAAGGCCAGCCACTTCCTGCCAAGCTGGTCTGTTCCTCCCAAGGGTAAGTTCTTCCAGGACAGTTTCATAGAGGACCACCTTCTTCCCGACACCAGCTTCCGTAATGATGTCAGAGCCGTCATCGATGTCATGTGTACTTTTCTGAAGGAGAGATGCTTCCAAGGCGCCACCCACCCTGTGAGGGTCTCCAAGGTGGTGAAGGTGAGTCCCCCTCAGGCTGAACTGACCTTGATTGGGTGGGAGAGGACCCTCAGGAGCCAGACTGCAGCTCTGACCCCGTGTCTTCACTTCCAATCACAGCTGCGAAGTGCCCCCAGGTCCCACATCCGTGTTAGGAAAAGAGCCTCAGCTACAGTTTGTGTTTCACCCTCCCAGGCCACATCTGTTTCAGAGACAGGGAAACTGAGGCCAAGCTCAGGGAAGCAGTTTTCTGGAGAGTAGTGGATCAAGGGATCTAATATTTGCCCGGATGTGTGACCTTGGATGAGTGGATTACCATCTCCATGCCCAGGTTCTCTCCTCCTGTAATGGCGCAGGAATTGAAGACTAAGTCAAATGTGACAGGGGACAGACCAAGACCCCACATGCTGGGTGACTGAACTGATGGACCCTGACTGAGCCTGGTTCTGGGTCTCGGACTTCATCAGTACCTAATTTACTGTGAAGGCTACAGAAATAAAGTTCTTTTATTTTCTATTTTTAGTTGTTTTTATTTTTATTTTTTTTTTAATTTTGTGGAAGGGCACTGTGTTTGTGCAGTGCCCTCGGGGTTAAAGAGCAGGTGTTACATCCTGTTAGCTGGAGTTGCACAGGTGGTTGTGAGCTGGTCTGTGCGGGTGCTGGTCTCTGAGCTGGGGACAGCTGTAACCCAGCAGGTGCTTTTAACTACCGAGCCACCTCTCCACCCTCAGATATGACATTCATAATGACCACTTCACAGTGGCTGGGCCTCACGTGAGGGTCTGTTCTCAGCAGGAGTTCTTCTTTTTAAAATACTTTGTTTCAAATGTGGATCTCATTTTACTAAACCTTTTCTGTTGCTCTATGACTTTTATGTTATTTTATATTACACAAGGCATTTTTCATCCAGGTATGTGATGTATGTGAGCATATTCCACCAACTAACAATGCCAACGATGAGGATCAGGACAATAGTGTCATAGCACTGTGTTAATTTCTCACAGTCTCCTCGCGCCCACTACCATCCTTTCCTACCCTTTGCTCCCATGCTGACCTCCCCCAGAGAATCCCCCTCTGATTTTGTGTCTGGATTCCACATGAGAGAAAATGTGCCATTGTGTCTTCCTTCATGACCCACTC